AAGCAGGAGACCCTATACCAGGGGTAGTCAACCTTGGCTCTTTTATGACTCATGGACTTCAACTCCCAGAATTCCTGAGCCAGCTAAGCTGGCTCAGGAATTCTGGGAATTGAAGTCCATGAGTCATAAAAGAGCCAAGGTTGACTACCCCTGCATACCATTTCAGACAGGTGGCTATCTGGTCGTTTCTTAAAAATCTCCAGTGATGAAGCACCTACAACTTCTGAAGGCAAGCTGTTCCACTGATTAATTGTCCTCGCTGTTAGGAAGTTTCTCCTTATTTCCAGGTTGCTTCTCTCCTTGAGTAGTTTCCATCCATTGACCCCCTCTTCTTTGTGGCGGCCCCTCAAATATTGGAATACTGCTATCATGTCACCCCTAGCCCTTCTTTTCTCTGGCCATACCCAGTTCCTGCAACCGTTCTTCATCTTAGTTGCTCTTCTTAGCACTTTTTCCAAAGTCTCAACATCTTTTTTGTAATGTGGTGACTCACAACCTTTTCATTTCCAAATGTCCAATTGTGTAAACTCTTCCTTTTGTTTTCGCATTGCACATTTTAAGGCATTGAATAAATCAAATGTATTTATGCTTAAATATGCAGTGCCTAATGCTTACAGAATGCATGGTGAAGCCAAGTTGGTGCAAATAAAAAAGCTGTCCTTAAAAAACACTCCAAGCCTGTTTGAACTGTATACACCCCCCCGTGACTTTTGCAGTTAGTTCCAAATGCTGCTTAATATTAGCAAGAATTAGAAATGGAGTTAGAAAAGGAACATTTTCCCATCAACATTTTTTTCTCTCTCTCCCACCCTTACCACCTCCACAAAATCCACAATCATTTTGCAATGTTTCAATTTATGTATAGAAAATATTTTTTCTTCTCTGGTACCTTGAAATATAATTCATATGACTGGTATGGTCCATGTTCGTGGCGTTGGATTTTACATTACTGGTTAGCTAATGTGTTCCTTTCAATTTGCTATTTCCCTGACATGCTGCACACTAGCACAAGAGATCACAAGTGGTGCAGATAAGGCTGGCTGCCGCCTCTCTTTTTATTTGAAACATGCAGTCTCTGGCTAAGTCTAATGAATATTGTGTCGAATGTAACAAGAGCTTGGAATAATTCATGCAACATTAATATCATGGATACCTGGCATTTGATCTTGGAAAAACTGTTCTTATTTATAATTTACTTATTCAATTTAATCCTTTTCTATTCAAAAGGTATATTTTCTAGCTCAATTAAATAGGATTCTTATAATTAATGGGTGATTTATGTCAGAGAGAAAGAGAGACAAATTGAGATCTCTGGTACATAGGGATTTACAGGCAAGACTCAACCTAGTATGGTTTATTCCAGCAGTAAGTAATTCCTAGATTCCAGAAGCTGTTGGACCCCAATTCCTATCAGCCCCATCTGACAGAACTCACATTTGAAGGGCTGTTAATTCCATGGTCACTGTTTATTCTGATTTGGAGCTGATCTCTAGAAACCAGGGGCTTTTCTACCACTTGAACAATTATTCTTGAATTGGTGAGAAGCCCAGCTGAATCTACAGATTCCTAATGTATATGAATGCATATCCTACTGTATATATGCTACATGCTGCCAATGCATATTATTGAGCTATATGATTGGTATCTCCCCTTTACTTAAATGTTATAGTGGGGAGGGGGCAGAGAATCTGTAGTATCATGAGTATAATTTTCAGCAGATTATGCTCCTCTGGTCTCCCCATTCAGAAGAGGAATTAAGTACATTTATGTGTGGAAAGACTATGAACTTTGTTTTACTCTGGTAAATGTCAATGGAGAGTCTCAATCAGCCAGGTCATGGCTGTCCCAAAGGTGCTTTTTCCAAAAGGCATCTGGACTTGATTTTTTCTTTGAAAATGTTTCGCTTCTCATCCAAGAAGCTTTTTCTGTTCTAACTGACTGGTGGGAACTGGAAGGATTTATATTCTTTGTAGTCATCTTATCGTTAGCACTCTGAGGGTCGGTCATTAGCTCTCTGAGAGTCATTGAGACCACTGTATCTGTATCCTCAAAGTCATCTGAGCTAGAATGCAAATGGATGTGGAATCTTCTTGGAACTGCTGGAAGGATTGCGTTGTAAACAGAAGATAGGTGATGTTGTACCCTCATCGTCTGTTGAGGGAGAGCTGTTCAAGTTTGACATAGATGGCCTCTTTGACTCCTCTTTCAAATCAGTGTTCCTCTCTGTCCAGAATGTGGACTTTGCTTCTTCAAAAGAGTGACCTTTGTCTTTCAAACGCAGAAGGAGTGCTGAATCTTGTCCTGATGGGTTTGTTGTCCTGTGTTGTGCCATGAAGTGGTTGTTTTGTTTCCCCAATGTACAAGTCTGAGCATGTCTTGTTGCATTGCATTGCCTAGACCACATTGCTCAGTTTGTGTCTGATGTTTTATCTTTGGGGTGGACAAGCTTCTGCCTTAATGTATAACTAGGTTTAAAGTGTGACTGTATGTTGAAAATGCTCCTGAGCTTTTCAGATATTCTTGAAACATATGGAATGACAACATTGCTCCATTTGTTGTTTTCTTTTTTTGTGGATTTCTGGATTTCACTCTAGTATTTTGGACAGATTCCTGGAATCTGAACTCTAGTTGTGTTCTCTTTGCACAATGACCAGTCTGGCCCATATTTCACTAAGTCTTTAGATGGGGTTACACATATCTTTTATTTTTGGTAATCCTCAAAATTATGGTAATTTGCTCATTCAAGTGAATATTTTATCTGTGCTAAGGCATTGCTTTAACTTCCTAGTTTGGCTCACTGACAAATGCTCAAAATAGCTGACTCTGATGTGAGGCTGATTACCAGTTTTCAGAACATGTGGGGGTTTGTTCAGTGTAGCTATTTTTCACAAATGAATGGTGCAGCAGTGTTACCAATGCAGAAACTTTTAAATAGTACAGTATACAAAATGGAAAGATGTTAATTAACACTGTTATCTATACATCTCGACATATCTTTAATGTGTGTCTTTTAAATTTTCATTTACTCTGGGATAAAGAAGTACTGTTGATTATGACACACAAAAGAATCATTTCCAAAGCAATTTTTGTTTCTTATCCTTCATCAAATAAGTTACATAAGTCTTTCTGGAAACTGAACATTGATGGTCAGTTTCCTGCCATGTAGGGATGGGCAGAAGTAAAAATTATAGTGTAAGAATTAAAATAGGTAGATCATAGTTAAAATCACAAAAAAGCAAAACAAAAAAAACCCCCACTGAAATTGCTCCCACTCACTTGTCCCCTAAAATTTCAGAGGTGGTTTTTTGGTGGTGAATGATTTGCTTACTCCTTAGTATCGTATAAAAACCAACCAACCAACCAGACAGTTAGCTCTATCTTTCAGAATTATGTTATAAATTAGTAATATATTGTCTCTCAATCAATTTTATTTCTTCACTTGGGATTTTTCTTTGGCTTAAATGTTAAATAATGAAATTCAAGAAGAGGATATAAGATGAAATGCTGTGCAGATGGTGTATATAAAACTCTATAAGATAGTAGATGAAAATAAACCAAAAGCTTTCCACTTTTAATTTTCTTGGCTCTTGCTGAGCTAAATGACCTCCAAAATATCTCAGAGCTGGCAGAAATGACCTGCCCAGCCACATAAATTTCATTGCCACAGTGGTTACAGCCATCTTTCAGTAATAATAAAACCATGAACACAAATTAAAAACAACCATCAGTCCTCTACTGAAAAACTCAATGAAAACAAATCCCGAGTAGTTGTTCACATGGGGAACAGATGTGTTCATCTAGGGACAATATAGATTTAGACACAGGTATAGTTGTTTTCCATTTGAACACTGCAACATTTGAAGGAAGTTGATCTGATATTTGCCTTTGACTCAAGAGTCATAGGTTCTGCACCCCTATGTTAAAATTATATTCAGTGGCTGATGCCTTTGAGTATCAGTTGCTGAGGAATAGCAGTGGGAGAAGGTTGTTATACTCCATCCTGTATGTGGGCTTCCCAGAGGCTGCTGTGGGAAACAACAGATTGGGTTCAATAGGCCCTGGATTTAATCCAGCAAGGTTTTTCTTTCACCTTTGTTCAAATGTAGTTACTGTTTTGGGACCTCTTTCTGATTGAGGGATTTTTAGAGTGGCATATAACCATGCAAACATGTATGTTTCTATTTCTGAAACAAAACCAAGTGTGAATTTGAAAAGGACTATTCTAGTATAAAACAACCCTAATACACATAGACTAGGAGCATTAAGTATTGCATAGAGTAAAATGATGTGCAAAGTAAGAAATAATAGGATTAAAGTGTAAGATAATTATGTTTAAATGTCAGTTCAGAGAACAGCAGACATTGCAAAAAGACTTTTATGATTATTATTATGTTCACTTTTTTTCACTCTATATGACAATAGTGTTGCCTGGCTTTCTCTTTGTAATCTGCCTTTTTAAAATAGTCTTGAAAACATCAATTGGTGCAATGTTTCCTTGGGTCCATATAGAGAGCTGAAGACCTTTCTAAGATACGTTTGGTCCTCTTTTAAAACATTTGAATTCATTCCCAGGCAAACCAGGATGCAGTAATCAGCCGAGCTCCTGATCAGAAAGATGATCGAGCCATCAGTCTCCAGAGTACATCAGCAGTTTATGATCTTCTGAGTATCACTCTGGGCAGAAGAGGACAGTATGTCATGCTTTCTGAGGTATTCATTTATTTATTTGGTGCCAACCAACCCCTGAGTGGCTCATACTAGAATAAGCAAAATATAAAACAATATAATAAAAGCAAAACCATACAACAGATGAACCAGACTAGAAAAGAAGGAAAGAAATGAGAAAGTGAATCCAGCAAACTACCAAAACATATACATATCAGGAAGTTCCAGCCACTTCAGTCCAAGGTCTGACTGAACAGCCAAGTCTTTAAGACTCTCCAGAACACTATCAGGATGAGAGACATCTGGTCCTCAGAGGCAACAGTACTCTGAGGGCAGATACCATGACAGAGAAGGCATGCGTTCCGGGTCCTGATAGATGACTTTGTTTGATTGAAGGAATCTGATGCATGCCAACCCTGTCAGCTGGGTAGAAGCAAGTTATCAATCAATACAACTTGCAGGACAGGATTATCATATTTGGGAGGGGTTGGAGCATCTGAGTTGTCTTTCAGGGTAAAACCGATGTAGAGCTCATTGAAATAGTCAACCTGTGAGATGATTAGGATGTGAGTGACTATCTAAAGCACGGGTGTTAAACTCGCCACGTCACATGACGTGTCGTGAGATATCGCTACTTTTTTTGCATTGTCGGAGCTGGGTGGGCGTGGCCTCCATATGATGCAACCAGCCCATGGGCCGGCAGTGTGACACCCCTGATCTAAAGGATTTCCTGGTCGAAGAGAGGATGCAATTGGTATACCAGGTGAAATCCATTTTGTATTTCCGGGTCCCCCTTTTTATATATTGCTAACTTTGCAATATTTTCTAAACATTAAGGCCCCCTCAAAATCATATTGTATATGTTTATACTGGTATTTACCATGCTGCATTATATGTTATATTTATTGGAATTATTTTTGCATATTAATATTTTATTGAAGAAAGATCTAGAGTCCAGTTTTAAAGAAAACTATACAGGCTTGCATCCTAAGTATTGTAAAGATAGTATGAAGGATAACTGCAGGCACTAAAAACACTTTATTTGGACCCCATTTGTGCACTTAATCCATCTCAGATAGCCCTTTCTTCATGCATGCTTTGTTTTTAAACCCCAGAACACTGCACTATCTGAACATGTCTCTCCCCTCCCTCCATCTCTCACCGTATATGTATATGTATATTCCTAATTATCTTAAAAACTCAGATCCCAGGTATACTCATATCAAAACTATAACAAAATCACTGAACTCCGGGATAAATGAATAAAACAAACTGTTTAATACTAAGTTTTCATCAGTCCTCTGCTGACATCGGCTTTTACTCTGCCGATGGCAGCAGAGGACTGATGAAAACTTAGTATTAAACAGTTTGTTTTATTCATTTATCCCGGAGTTCAGTGATTTTGTTATAGTCTTGGTATATGCAGGGCTTTTTTTCTCATAGAACGCCCAGAACGGAGTTCCGGCACCTTTTTGGGATGGAACCTTATAGGGTAGGCAAGGCGGGTTATATAACGTGTGTGAGTTCCGGCACCTTTTTTTTTTTTTTAGAAAAAAAGCACTGGGTGTATGTATAGTATGTATATGTATATGTATGTATAATCTATACTTTTTCTCCCCAGTGTTTAGAAAGAGCAATGAAGCTTGCATTTGGTGAATTTCATCTCTGGTACCAGTTGGCTCTGGCCATGACAGCTTGTGGCAAGGTAAGACTTAAACAAGCAAACAGACTATTATATAGATAGAATTATTGCTGTTATCTATACTTGAAAACAAAATGCAATCTGAAATATAATATATTCTTATAATCATGCAAGTGTATTAGTTCTCCTTTTCAAATTGTTACTATTTAATATAGTAATAACTTGTAACAATGATTATTCTTTTTGAATATAGATGCATTGATTGTCTAATAGAGATAACCAAAAGTAAGGCACTAGGTTCTACATACTCAGAGAATACCCACAGTATACATTTATTCTATAGATAGTATGAAAATATGTGAAGTAAAAAAAATGACAAATAATTTTTTTTAAAATATGATGAACACAAACCTATTAGCTTTGGTCTCAAAGCACAAGGCATCCAAGTTTTTTCTTATTGAAAAGTCTATCAGAAATTTCATAATAATCCACCTTCAGTTTTCTTACATCCTTGAAATTTCAGCAGCCAAACTTAAATGGAGAAAAATATTCTGCTTTTGTTGTTGAAGAAATTGGACTCAAAAAGCCCTGCCAATGTATGAAAATTACCTAATGATCAAACAGAAGATTTAAATGTTCTTCTATCTAGATCTCTTTCAAGTTGATTCCTAAACTGATGAAATATCCTAGAATTAAGTGACACTACATTAGTGTATTATTATTAGGACTATATACAGTAAAGAAAAACTTGCTGATAGTAAGATCTATATGGCAATGGAAAAGTCTAAATCTGGAGGCTGTGAGGTCTTGATATCTAAAGATTTTTAAGAGCAACTAGATTGCCACCTCTCAGGGATAGTTTAATTGGTTTTCCTGCACATTGAAGAGGATTGTAGTAACTCAGTATTTCTCAGCTGTGGCAATAAAGTTCACACATCTTAAAGTTGCCAAGGTTGAGAAACATTAAATTAGATGATCCTTGTGATTCCTTTCAATTTTAGAATTCTATCAGTCTATGAAAGACTCTGGCAGAAAAAAAAATGTCCTTCTTCATCTGATAGTGTTACAATCCTACTTCCAAAATGTTTCTAAGAGAGTCATACTATATTCAACAGGGAGAGATATAATTGGGAGAACTGTGGAAATTACAATTTTTACTAAGCACCATGATGCCAGAGGTTAAGGGTTAGGGGAAGGGAATGATCAGCAAAGATATCTGGTGAAGCCATGGGTGAAGCCACTAATATATATATCTTTTTTAAATTGCCCTAGAATACAGCCAAGTCCAAACTTTATTAAAAACAAGATCTTACATCTGAGGTTTACTTTCATATTTGTAGTGCTGAGAAATGGACTCATAAATCTGTGATTATCACAGAAACACTATTTGATGAGTCCTTTTATTTCCCCAGACACCTTCACATTTTGAAAATAAACTTATTCTTTTAAGTATCAGCAGAGACTCTCTTGATCTATATAGATCAGGGGTGTCAAGCTCAATTTCATTGAGGGCCGCATCAGCATTGCGGTTGCCCTTGGGGGGCCGGGTTGGTGTAGCCAGGGTGGGTGCGGCCTACTGGGTGGGCTTGGATGGAGTGGGTGTGGCCTACTGGGTGGGCATGGCCAGCTCTACATCGTTCGTGTCAAGGGTGCCTGTGGGAGGAGTGGGACAGATCTGAGGGCCTCTGGCAGAAGGGGGTGGGACCAGGGCAAGCGCCAAGGCATGGTCCATTTCTTCATTCCTCACAAAGGGTGGCACCTCCCCAGCATACACCCAGGGGGCAGGGCCGACACAGCAGGGGCTGGTTCCTCGCTATTTCTGGACGGCCTTGTGGAGCTAAGACTGAATGTGTTTCAGTATAGATGGCCACCACAAAATTGTACATTGGCTCCTGGCCAGCCTGGACCAGGGCCAAGGCAGTGGGGGCCGTTCCCTCACTGTTTCCAGGATGGCTTCGCAGACCACATGAAACCACTTCACGGGCCGCATCCAGCCCCCGGGCCTTGTGTTTGACATGTCTGATATAGATTGTGCTCATTACTAAACAAGATTGTTCTGATTCAACATTCCATTCTGCTTATCTTTCACTTAATAAAATATTTCATTTAAAATATTAAATTATTAAAATTACAACTTTATGTTTATTTATTTATTACATTTATTTGCTGACCATCTCGCTGTGAAGCGACTCTTAATGGAAATCCATCTTGCTGGTCAGAGTATTATTGAAACATCAAGATGATCTTTAACAAGATATGTATATTCATATATCCAAATAAAGCTTCAGGTGACCCATGAACCAATCTGTAGTATTTTTCCTTGGCCATATCATCATGTAAATGGACTGTTTCTTCCAGGTCAGATAATTATGTGGGGTAAAGTAGAGAGCAGGGCAGAATGTGAGACCAAGCTGAATATTGTATAGTAATGAGCTAACTTAATAATTACTATACTTATGTACTGGGAGTGAGGAGGGAGAAACCCAATTAAGAGCTCACAGTTTGTTCAGCAGCATTGGGCCACTGAAAAGTGGAATCCTCTAAGCAGCTGAAAGGTTGAAAGAGGGCACCATCTTAAAAATGAAGAGGCTATGGCTGTCTGCTTCTGTTCATCTGCCTCGAGAGAGAACCCCATGTTTGCCTCATACTGATGAGTGTTCTAGTGGTGCAAGCCTGTCATTGTACTAGCAAAGTTTTCTATTAGTCAACAGATAGATCAGATTGTTTCCTAGGCAAGATTTTAATGCATAATAACTTTTGTGTCCAATGGTATTTTTAGATCATTTTAATTTCTTGTTTAGGTTCTGCAGAAATTCTTTTTTCCATACAGATCCAAATAGTCCTTGACTTACAACTGCTCATTTAACAATTACAATGGCCTTGGAAAAAAGAGACGTATGACCCATCCTTGAAGTTATGATTACTGCACCACTCCCATGATTACATGATTGAATTTAGGCACTTGGCAGCTGGCTCACATTTATGAGGTGTCTTGCCATCATGGAATCATGATTTGTGACCTTCCCAGCTAGCTTCCAACAAGGAAACTAGATTCAGTTAATGTCCATGATTAAAAAAGGTTATAAAATTTTATGCAGTCACACGATGACTTACTTTAAGACTGCACTGACTTGTTTTGAAAACTCCACTCCCAACTGTGTTGTAAATTGAGGATTATCTTGACTACAAGTAATCATCGACTTACAACCATTCATTTACTGATCGTTTAAAGTTATGACGGTACTGAAAAAAGTGTCTTATAACTGCTCCCCACACTTACAATTGTTGCAATGTCCCCAAGATAATATGATCAAAATTTGGATGCTTGGCAACTGCCATATATTTCCAACAGTTGCTGCATGCTGAGGTAACGTGGTCCCCATTTATGACCTCTCCAGGGGGCTTCCGACAAACACAGTTTGGGGGATGCACCAGCCAGATTTTATTCTTCACCAAGGCATTGAGAGATGTATAAATTTGATAACAACAACAACAACAACAACAACAACAACAACAACAACAACAACAATAATAATAATAATAATAATAATAATAATAATAATAATAATAATAAAGTTGGAAGGGACTTTGGAGGTCATCTAGTCCAACCCCCTGCTCAGTCAGGAAACCCTATATCGTTTCAGACAAATGGCTGTCCAGTCTCTTCTTAAAAACTTCCAGTGTTGGAGCAACAAATGATGTTATCCATTTGTTGATTTAGATAAAATATAAGATAAGTGAACAAAATTAAATTATGGAATGTTTTGCATGAATCTGATGGTGAAAGTTGGTCATTGAATGAGAAAAGAGCAATATAAGATGGAAATAAATAGTGCTTGAAATGTAATAAGCTAATTGTTTAATACTCAGCATGGAATGATGTCCCCTTGTGTGGATAGCAAAGGCAGAAATGATAAGATCAAGAATACTGTATTTGGTCACACAGAGAACTAGATAGAATGGATAAGGATCAAATAGCAAAACAAATATATGAAGGAAGAATGAATACTACAAGTGGAAGGGGAAAATAGGAAATTATGACTGGATGGTATTTATGATTGGATTTATGATCCAATTATGATTGGAGGGAAGAAATGTAAAAAACAAAAGGCATCATAAGACATAATGTGTTGACATCATGGACACAAAGATGGTTGGTAAGGATAGGAAGATATTGAGAGTTACAATGATTGATATTTCTATAAATTAGATTTAGCTATTTTTTCTTATCCCATGTTTTAATTTATTTAATTTATTATTTCTATAATTTCCTATCCCCTTTTGCACTTTGCATAACATTGCTTACTGCAAAAGAGAATAGTTTCAGGCATGTATATAAGTCAAATGCAAATGTGTTGGTGAAGTCATATCTTTCTTTTTAAATATACTACTTAGTATGGTGGGGATCTTTTCTGTCACTATATTCCATATTAGGGCCGACAGGGCATGTGTATAACTAATATATTTTGTATTTTACTGGAATCTCTAGATATAAATACAAATCAGACAGTTAGAAAGAAAAGAACACTTAAAAACTAAACACAAGCATAGGAAAAGAAAGTGGCCTTGTTACAAATGGATTTGACTGAGGCCTAGAGAAGTTCTTTCTACCATTCTGTTCAACAAGCACATCTTAAAGGCAGAGCTCAGCATTTGCTTTTTATGCTCAAATTAACCATGATCTTCAGGGTTTTTTTACTTGACACAGGCTAGCTTGGAGAATCCATTACTGGAAATATTTAAAAAGAAGTGGACATCATCTATCAAAGATGATATCCAGCATTGCTGAGTTGACCACTGAGGTTGATTAGATGATCACCAAGATTTATCCTATCTATATACCTATATAAATGTATAACTCTTGGAGATAATATCCCTGTATTTTTCAATAGATACCGCATTAAAAGTCAAAGAGGTAGCCAGTGCTTTTTTTCTAAAAAAAAAAAAAAAAAGGTGCTGGAACTCACACACATCATATAACCCGCCTTGCCTACCCTACAAGGTTTCATCCAAAAAAGGTGCTGGAACTCCGTTCTGGGCGTTCTATGAGAAAAAAAGCCCTG